GGCTCAGTGGCCTGAAGGACGCCCTGCAGATGAAGTAACCCCCCCTCATGAGCCCCACCCCACCTCAACCCTGTTCTTGGAATTAGGAAGTGCGGTGAGGGCACCTCCTCACCAGGGGCTGTAGCAGGGACTGGCACTGCAGATTAGAGACGCTCCTTGTCCCGGAAAACCGAGGCCGGAAGGGAGGCAGAGCCCCTGAAGGGAGACAGACCAGAAGTCCTTCCTGTCAGCCGGGAGGCCAAGTCACTGAGGTGGCTTGAATAGGGCACTCTGAGTGACAGCCCGCAGATGTCAGGGATCAGTTTCATTCCTGCCACTCGCATCAAGGACCCGGTTCCGATCCCCATCCCTTGCGTCAGGCCCCGGGGGTGAGCAGCTTTCATTAGACAGCTCACTGGAAGCTCGTGGTTTGGGCCGACCCAGCAGTGTCGTGGAAGGAAGGTCTGGAGATCTACTGAAAGAATCTGCCACTGACACCCCTGCGGCGCTCAGTCCCACTCTGGCACAGATGTGGTCCCGGGAGCGGGCACGGAATCCACAGCGACTGGCCTAGGTGGCAGTTTTGCTTTGTTTGGGTTTGGTGTTTGTCTGTCTCTTTTGAACGCGCATGGAGCTCAAGTCTGAGTCCGACTGGCTGCCAGGTTCTCTCCTTTATGACCGTGAAAGCCCCGCTAGGCTTCTTCTCTCCCCCGGGGCCCTATTTCTGGGGTGAAATGCGTGGGGCGCGTGGGCATTTTGGTAAAGCAAGGGAGCCCTTTTCCTCTCTCTTTTCCTGTGTAAGCAGAGATGCCCACGGCACCCAGTCTCACATCTGTAGGAACCTTGCCCAAAGGGTCCTGCGTCATCCACCTATTGTTCTCTGAAGGCACCACCACCAGCACCCCCTTCCTGCCCGCCTTCCCTGGAGGGGACAGCCAACAATGGCCAGCCAACACTGGTGTTCTGGCGGGCAAGGTACAGATAATCCTGACTAGAGAAGACGAGGGTGGGGGGACAAAGAGAGACCCTTGGGGCTGGGGCTTAGCAAAGGCCTCAGAGTTGAAGAGGAAGATGGGGAACAGGAGGAGGGGAAGGAGCCCAGGCTGTCTTCAGGCTCTAGAAAGGCCGGTCTAAGGGAGGCCCGGGTGAACAGGGACTCATCCGGGGACCTGAGGACTGCTTCACGGCCCTACCTGGGAGTTATATAGGGGCTCTCCCCGTCCCCCACCAAACCCCCTGAATCTACCAAAAAAGACTAAAATGCTAAAAGACCAAGCTTGCCCGTGACCCTCCTGGCAATGAGGGAGCTGACGGGTTCAGAGCAGCGAGCACAGGTTGGATGGTCAGAAGCCCGTGACAAGGCTGGAGCTCGCTGGGACACTGGGATGAACGGAAAACAGGGGAGCAGCCCAGTGTGGAGGCTGAGGAGGAAGCAAGGGCAGAGGGGTGAGCCTGACTGATGAGGAGAAAGGTTCGCCTGAGAAATGGGGAAATTAAGAAGGGAGGCTGGTTTAGTGGGGTCAGGTGTGACCCACCAACTACTCTATTGGGACAACCTTCAGATCAGCCCGGGCAGGGGCTCATGGCCCCACCTGGTGGTCAACATGGAAGCAGTCTCCCATCACCCTTTCTTAGAGGTGGTGATTAGGGTGGGAAGCCATGAACCGAAAGGTCGGTGGTTCAAGCTCACCAGCCACTCTAAGGGAGAATGATTAGGCCGCGGGCTTTCCTACAGATTTACAGTCTTGGGCAGCATGGGAGGGAGGAGGGGGCTGGAGATTTGCCAAAGGAACGTGGGGGCAGTCGAAAGAAAAAGTATAAATGAAATGCCTCGCAGGTTCACGTGCTCCCGCATCCTGCCAGGGACATGCCCTCCCCACCCTGCCAGCTAAGACCCCCCAGCCCACACCTGGGACATTCAGAGCCTGCCCTAGGGGGCCCCCACCTTGGGTGAGATGGGAAGCAGCCTCCTTGGCTAAGGCAAAGTGACCTTTCCTCTCCTAGAACTCAGCAATCAGCCTGCTAGGGATCGACCCTCGATAAGGATTCCGGGTTGGGTTGACCAAGCAGGCTGCTCCCGTGCCTGGCCCACGTGCCTCTGAGACACACACACACACACACACACACACACACACTCACTCACTCAGGGCAGGGCAGGGCAGGCAGGGAGGAAGTCAGGCTGGGCCGCAGTGACAGGC